CTATTCTTAGCGTATGAAATAGTGTAGCCAGCAAAGAGAGTATCTTCAATCAGGCTTTTCTGCTGAGGGCAACCAAGTACAGAATGTAGACAACTGATTTAACCAGACAGAGCCTTGTAACCTCCTGCTTTTTGCTCTGGGTGCTTTGGAGCTGGCCTGTGATAAGCACACGTGTGGATGTGACTGAGTTGAATTATGCTATAAAGGAGCAAGGGCTGTTAGAGATAAATGGGATTTATGGTGTGCTTTAAAGCACCTAATCAGAGACCCTAGTAAACGGTTTGTGGTAGGAAATTGCACCACCAGTGAAGCACAACTGGAAAATCTGATCCTCCCTCTACCCCATCCAGCTCAGTCCTGTGTCCCTGGAAGGGACTACACCTGACAGCGTGACTGCAGCTGACAGGCAAGGATAGCCGGGTAAGAGATGAGCACCCGGTGCTTAGGGCTTAGATTAGGAAAGGCTTTATTGCTAATACCTAGAGCTTGAATTAGCACCAGGCTTTGAAAATAAACTGAATGCATGCGTTTCCTTGTCTGCTCGGCGTGGGAGAAGGAATCCTGTTTGCTTGAGGAATCTTTGGTTCTTCAAGGGTTACTTTTTTGCTTTTTGATCCTGTTCTAAGATAGTAAATGCTGCTGCTGTAAATTGCCTTCGTTTAAACTTGGCATGGTGAGTCATGAGGCTCAATGTCTTGGATCTTTCATTTTCTTATCATCTTTTTTTCTTCCCTTTACAAAAATAAAACTTTAATCGGTTTCTGACTCGAGCAGAGGAGCGCTTAATGTCTTATTAGAGTAGCATGTGTAACAAATGGCCCAAACCTACTGAGATTAGGAGTGACAAGAGAGTGTTACTAAAATCTTTCACATGTTTCGGGAACGAGACCTATTTCCCTCCTCCCAGCTTTTATGTATTAGCATCCTGTTGTCATTATCAAGTTCAGGCTGAGTAATTCCTTAGGCCTTTTATATTGCTGTGTTTTTTCCCTTCCCATGTTACTCCACTCCCTGAAATCTCTGACTTTCATTGAGCACAGCACCAAAGATAACACCCAACTGTTGGCAAGTTACATCAACGTTATCTGTCCATTGCTGTCAGGGCCAAGCTGTCAGCGTGCTGCTCCACGTGAACTGCTGGTGCTTGGGAAATGCTTGCTGCAGTTTAGGGATGTTTATGTGTGTAGATGGACATATTTGGGTTGCAAGAATGTGTTTGGTTGAACAAAATACTACTTAATCTGGATTTATCAGAAATAATACAGTTCTGTGTTGGCTAGCACACCACAAATATCTTTGTCAATATGTTCAGGGCTAGTTTGAACTAGCTGATAATTTTTAAAGATTTCTTTAAGCGATGGTCCCTAATATGACACTATAGCTCTAAAAGTTCAAGTTTGGACTTATTAGTCTAAAAAGTATTACAGTTGGTTTGGGGAGTTGTTTTTTTTTTTTTATTTGTTTTTGAAGCAGAGTGGTTTTGCTGAAATAAAAGCTCAGGTCTGCTGGGTTTCAGAATGCTTCTACTGCCTTACAGATGGAGATGGCCAGGGCACAAAGCTGGTGACTCAGTACCTGAGCTGTCTTGATGCCTTTTTGTTTGTCTGTGTAGTGGAAATCCCTTTATATGGGCAGTCCACTGAGAGACATGCAGGAAATGCCTTTTTATGGCTGTTTCCACCTCCTGCTGGGAGCAGTTTATCTCTCTAGGATCACTTGTTGAGTACTTGCTTCGTTCACAAGCCTTCCCCTGCTTCTCTTGTCCAGGAAGGATACATGACTTGCTGAAAAGAGAGAAAATGCTATGCTGGGGATACTCGTCTTTTGGACAGCCTGGGATAGGTAGCAACCTCCAGGTCATCATTCCTGAACCACAGGTGTATGGATTCATTCATGACAGAAATGTCAAGGAGGTGGCATGTGGAGGAAACCACTCTGTGTTCCTGTTGGAAGATGGAGAAGTATATACCTGTGGCTTGAACACCAAAGGCCAGCTGGGGCATGACTATGAAGGAAGCAAGCCAGGTAGGTCTGCTTTTTATGTGCTTCAGACTGTCTTGAGGCTGGTGAACTGAGAAGATTATGGAAACTGCTTTGTGTTGATTGTTCTGGAGCTGGAAGAGCTAACAGAGCTGAACATCATGTGTAATAACACAGTAATGATGCCAAATAGTATTTGCTGGCTCTGGAAAGCTAAAGTTGAGCAGCATGGTTGGGGAGACAGGTCTGCTCAATTTGTTTGGGAAATGCATCAAAACAGGCGAGTGCAGATGGTCTCAGGGCAGATTTTGTTATTTGGCATTACTTTGCCTTTTTATAAAAGGGAAGAGAGGGCCATGATTCACAAGTGTCTTCCGCTTTGTCTTTCCAATTGCACTGTATCCTTATGCCTGCTCTTGTTCAGTTGTTGGGAATTTTGTCATTTGCATCAAAGAGAAGAGATCTGTGAGTACAGTTGTGGAGAACAAACTTGGTTTTGGCCAAGAAGGGTTATAAATTTTGTTTTCCCATCTGGAAAATCTCTTGTTGCCTTGTGCCTTCACCCCTTCATGCTTTCTAATCTAGAAGGATGTCATTGTAGCCTTGTGTTTCCCAGACTTAAGTTGCATTTTCTTCATTGTGTTTCAAGGGGCAGAACCTACATGTGTGTCATGGTTTAACCCCATTTGGCAACTAAGCCCCACACAGCTGCTTACTCACTCCCCTCACAATGAGATGGGGGAGAGAATCAGAAGAGTGAGAAAACTCCTGGGTTGAGATAAATAAACGCTGCACAGGAAGGAAAGCAAAACGAGGAATTCGTTCTCTGCTTCCCATCAGCAGGCAGGTGTTTGGGTTCCTCCATTAACTGTTACATGTGAGAAAGACACACACCGTTGCTCCGAATGTCCCTCCCTTCCTTGTTCTTACCCCAGCTTTATATGCTGTGTGATGTCATATGGTGTGTAATATCCCTTTAGTCAGTTGGAGTCAGCTGTGTCCCCTCCCAGCTTCTAGTGCACCCCCAGCCTACTCGCTGGTGGGGTGGTGTGAGAAGCAGAAAAGACCTTGACTCTGTGTAAGCGCTACTCAGCAGTAACTAAAGCACCTCTGTATTACCAACACTGTTTTCAGCACAAATCCAAAACATAACCCCATGCTAGCTACTATGAAGAAAATTAACTCTATCCCAGCCAAAACCAGCACAGTGTGCAGAAGCACATGCAGCTGATGCCTCTCCTTCCCAACATGAGGAAATTGTGAATTGTGATTGAATTGTGTGCTATTATTTTGAGAAACCTTGAAGCCTTTCTTATGGACTTGCTTTTGAATGTTGGGCTTCCAATTCACCTTCCATTAACTTCTTGGTTTTGGCATATGGTAAAGATACAGGTATTTCTGTTTCTGTAGTATAATAAAAATCCCTCCGTGGTTAATTAGAGAAATAAGATATCCTTCCTCAAACTGCAGGCTCCCCTCTGTAGGGCTTGGAGCTTCTGTAGCACACCCTGTTATAGCGTGATAGAGATATGGGATGTGTACAAAATTGTTATGGTTCCCCATGCAGTATGTGCAAATCTGACCTGATGGATTCCACTGCTCCTTTTTTCTGTCAGTGTGTGTCTTTCAGAATGGGGTTGTAGATGTTTGTCTGTGGTGCTGCATTAGAGCATCCTGAATCTGGCCTGTCTTGCTTTTCCTAGGAGTGGTTTCCAGACAATTACTGAAAGAGGTTGGGATTATCAGGAGTGCTTAAGTCCTCTCTGTGCACAACCACTGTTCATCTCCTGAGGTCTTCTAAACTTTGGCCCTGGAATAAATGAGATGCTTAGTAAAAGGAAACCAATTCTAGTGAATATTTCACCCAACCTGATGAGGATACTTCACCCGGCAAATCACCTAACTAGCTGCATGGCTCTAGTGCAGAGGCGCCAGAAATTCAGTACTGTTCTGAGTGCTGCAGAAGATGTGTACTCTGAGAAACATCTTTGGACTGGCCATAAAATAAAGCAAGCATAAGACGGTAATGAAAATGGAGGCTTTATGGCAAGTAGAATATCAGAGCTGGAAATGGATCTTACGAATCTTGAACACTGAAGTGCAGACCTCTAGCAGCTAGGTAACCCTGCCTTCAGCTAGGGCTGTAGAAGGGGAGGCAGTCTGAGATTTGGAAAAGAAATAAAAAGTTCTTTGGGTTTGATCCCCAGTGCCCTTCTTCTACCCCTTAAATGAGGGACTGTCACTAACAAGCGACAACAACTCCCAGTTATCCTGCAGGTTTCATTTATCCTGAAAAAGGTTCTGCAGCATTGCTCTCTGAGGAGCCTGTGGCCATCCTTGAGAAACTGTGTTTCTCTACTGACACAGCACTACTGGCTGTGCCTGCAGTGGGGTTTCTGCTGACTGGGGCAGGTGGGAGGGATGTGCTGTAAAGCAAGGGACATCTTCCCTTTTTAGCTCATGGCTAACAGTCACAGCAGTTTTTACGATAACAGTAAACTGAGGGAGAGTCCCATCCCACACGCTGCTTTGTGTGGGTCTGATTTGGCTTGCAGCAATTGGAACTGAATTTCTTAATTCTCCTTTGCAAATAAGAACAAGAATAATCAAGGCCTCCTCTTTCACTCTTGCCTCCCCTGCATGTGATAAAGATGATCTTACACCTTCAGTGTAGAAAGGCATGTCAAAGATCATCTATCTTATTCTGGTTTAGTTGTGGACCTATGAATGAAGCTATGTCTGATAGGAAGTGAAGATGTATGTGTGGAGCATAGGGTCCTGAGCTGTTGAAGATCAAGATGACAGAGAGAAAACTGTCAGAAGGTGTCCGAGGTAGAGAACAGGAGAAATACCTGGAACTGGGCGTCTTGTGTCTGCATCTCCGGCCTCAGCAGGGCAGTGTGGGCTGAGACCTCTTGGTTTTACTGCCTTATGGGCTTAGCCTGTGAGGGCAGCTAGAAGTGGCTGACCTCTGCCCAGCTCTGGAAGTGAGCTGCATCTCCTGCTGTGGGAGGCTGTGACACAATACTGATTGTCCCCTCCAGGCAGCCCCTGGACTTCAGAAATGCTTACCATGTCCTGTGGATTGGCTTGGTTGTGACTGAGAGTACCATCAAGACAGGAAAATATACAGAGGGTCTTGAACCTTTTGAAGGCTAGGTGACTTCCGAGGGGTGCAGTGATCTCCTTCCTGCTGCCCATGTTTGTGCTCAAAAGAGGAAACTCCATTTAATCTCACTTTTTGTCTGTGAGGCTTATACTGCCAGCATGCGAAAAGCTTCAATTAGGATTTTCAGAACATATGATCGTGTCATTTAATCAGAGATGGTTATTTCCCAGGATGATGATGACTTATGATGTCTGTTTGTGAATAAAATTCTGGGACTTTGCAATGCATTGAACATGGATCTAATGCTGTTCTTGTAAAGCTTGCAGGTTTTACTAATGACTTCCAGTGGGAGAAAAGTTATTTTATTTGCAGTGAGTGCTTTTGAAGACTTTGCCTCCCTTTCTTCCCTTACTACATATTCCAAATAATTATTTTTTTTCTCTTGTTCTGCTGCCCATTTACATGTCTGTAGTAGGAGGATTCAATTTTGCTTCCCATTCACGCTAGTCACAACAATGTCAAACAGTGGCACAGAATTTTCAGCAGTTCCTCTTAGAGGAGTTCTTTAGAAGGCACGTTTGAAATTAAAGACACTTTTTAATTAAAAAGCTGTGTTTACTGTCACATTAGCTGAGCTCGTGTATGTAATGCAGAGACAGGATAGCAGCTGGCGAAGTGGTTCTTGTGCTACAGAGAACAGAAATTACTAAGGGAGTGTGTGCTACTGAAAGAGTATGAGTTGATAGAGGTTTATTTTCTGGAAGTGCCCTTTTCTTGGATTTTACACTGTGGTGGTAAAATTAATATTTAAGATGTCTAACAAATTTATCCTAACTAAAATAATGATTCTTTTGACTAAAAGCTAAGGGCTTATGATAGTTCCCAACTCACCACTTCTGAGCTAGGGTAGTACTGAGTGTGCCACTCCTATGGGCTCCACCAAGAACCATCACCCCATGTTGTAGTGTTATTTATGGTTTCATTCCTTCTTTGAATTGTGGTGGTTAGCAAGCTACTTGTGGAGTCTGTCTCTCTCAGGGATGGACACCTGGCTTTGTTAAGTTTGAAAGGATTGTTTTTCCTCACTTTATTTTTCCTTTTTTCCCCTGAAACAGTCTATAGTTTGTCTCTGCAATTACTTGGCAGGGATGCAGTGTTCTCTCACCATGACCATAGTTAATAAAGCTTCTATCTGACCTGTCCTAATTTTTACTTGCGTTGTTACGCACTCGGAGTCCCCAGAGTCTCTGGCAATGCCTTAGGAGAAGCAACTCGGCGATCTTAGTTGTGAAGCATTGAGCCCACTGTTCTGCAAAATCAGTAGGAGTTTGTATTAATATTCTGAGCATCATCAGATGTTGACATACATTATGTCTCTAATGGGAAGTGATAATTCTGTACTGCCATATAGTTTTGGGAAACAAAAAATTTATTCTCTGTAACTGTATCTAAATTTTTACTACTTCAGCCTTGTAATTTCATTTGGATTGAATTTCTTAGGTCTGACATGTCTTGACTCCCTGCAATGACTCTTAGATAAGTGTATTCTATCTGAATGTCATGCATGTGCTGCGGAAGAAAAGACAGACCCAGGTACCTAAAGTAAAGGCTCTTTTGGGATGAATTACAGAGGAGTGTGAAATAACTAGCTGGTTGTTAGCTGTCTGTAAAATTTCAAACATATGCTTGAGCCTGGTCTAGGGGTTTGTTCTCTGCAAGTCATTTGGGCTTCATTTGACTTCTGCTAGTGAGAATACCTGGGCTTTGGTTGTTAGTGTCCCGAGAGAGTTACAGGAAAATGTCTGGTGCCAAATTTACCTTGAACCTCTCCTCTGGTAACATACAGCAGACAAAACCATGCTTTTTTACCAGATTTCCTGTCTGGATGCAAATGTGCGGGGTAGCATTGCTTCTGTGTGCATTGTGGAATCTACAT